AAATATATGAAAAAAAAAAAAAAAAATTCAGGATGTGACAGTACAAGTCCAGGACGGGTGGCATCCCCGATGAGCTCTTTCTGAGACTAAAATGCCTGCGTGTGTTGAAGCTGCGCCGAAGAGACATCGAAGAGCTACCGAAATCGATCGGAAGTTTGATCCAGCTCCGGTACTTGGACCTCGCAAATACGGGTATCAGAACACTGCCCCAATCGATCAGTAAGCTATATAATCTACAGACATTGATCCTAAGGAACTGCAATTTCCTAACCGAGATACCTCGTGGTATCACCAATCTGATCCATCTGCGACATCTCGAAGCAACCAGCACGTTGATCTCTGGAATAGCTGGATTAGGATGTCTAACCTGCCTTCAAGAATTAGAACGATTCATCGTCCGCAAGGATGATGGATTCAAGATAACGGAGCTGCAAGACATGAATGAGCTTCGAGGACATCTGTGCATCCAGAATCTGGAGAGTGTGGTCGACAGGAAGGAGGCCGGTGAGGCTAATTTACATGCCAAGGAGCACCTCAGTTTTCTCAGTCTGGAATGGACAAAGGACAGAGACCTTGTTCTCGAAGATGAGATCCTCTGCGAGGAGGAGGTGCTCGAAGACCTCCAACCACACCATGAACTGAGAGAGCTGAAGGTCATGGGCTATGCAGGTACCAAGCTCCCAAGTTGGATAGGCAACCCATCATTTTGCTACCTGGAGACCATTCATCTCTCCAACTTGATGAGGTGCAAACACCTTCCACCTCTCGGACAGCTGCCATTGCTCAGATATCTGGACATTGGAGGAGTGCCTGGATTGGTAAGAATTGGTCAAGAGTTCCATGGCAGAGGTGACATCAAGGGATTCCCATCATTGATTGAACTGGTACTTGAGGATATGCCAGCTCTGGAAGAATGGGTGTGCTCAGATGATGATGAGTTGCTCCCTTGCCTCACTGATCTTGGAATCGAGGACTGTTCTAACCTGAGAGAACTGCCCTGCCTTCCTCCAACTATAGAAAGGCTCAGAATCTCTGGTGTGGGGATTACTACTCTGCCAGACCTGCGTGGTTCAAACTGCCAGTTCTCATCCTTAAATGTGTATGACTGTCCTAACTTAACATCCTTGCAGAAAGGATTGCTTGGGCAACAACTGAAGGCCATTGAGCAATTAGCAATCGTAGACTGTGAAGAGCTTATCTTGCTGCCCCAAGAAGGCTTCAAAGACCTTGTTTCACTCAAGAGCCTCAGCATCTACAACTGTCCAAAGCTCGTGCCTTTGGAAGATGACAAAAGACTTCTTCCGAGATCGCTCACAGAATTGCGAATCAGCTCATGCTCCAAACTGATCAACAGACTGCTTGCAGACTGTAAAGATTTGGCTTCTCTTAAGCATCTGCGGGTCACCGACTGCGCAGACCTCTACCGTTTCCCCGAGGAAGGACTTCCCACCGCGCTCGAATCTTTAGGAGTTTTTCGCTGCTACAATCTCCTCCTTCTGCCTGCTAAGCTGCAGGAGCTCCACTCCCTGAAGTCTATGGTGATTGACAACTGTCACCAGGTGCAGTGCTCGCCAGAGGAGGGCCTTCCCATGGAGCTGAAAGACCTACTCGTCTGTGGATGCCCTTTGCTGCAAGAGTATTGTCTTGGGGACGGTGCAGCAGGTCGGCATCAGTTGATGCACATCCCTAGGGTTCAATTTGATGATGTACTTCTCAGGAACTGACGATGGAGATGGTGATCCTGCGATGCACGATCCATTTGATGATGTACAATTTGGGCTTTCTCCTCATGTTAAGCCCATTTGGGCCCAAATTAATTTAACCATGTTGAGCTGTTTGGGCCCTCGGCATGATTCGAATGATTGATCCGCCAAGTCAACACATGGCGTATCTCGTCACCCTCACAGCCACAAGATTTGGATTCCTTGCAGAGAACTAAAGAGACGGATGTGCCCTCGTTCTTTTATTTAATTGCCGTTGTGGTACTCTTGTTGTAAAATACAAACTGTTGCCTTCAAATTTCGCAGAGAAACCTATAATATATCTCCGTCTTCCCTGACGTCTAGGGGGGATCATCCGATAGCTGCGATGGCGATCAGAGCCCGCCGGCCCCTCCGCTCCGATGCCTTCCTCCTCCTTGTCCTCTTTCTTGTATCCATCTCATGTTCGACCTCCGAGCCGCAAGGGGTAGGTCCACTGTTTTGTTTGCCCTCTCCGGTTCCGGGATTCTGATTGGTGGTTGGATCGAACTCTGTCAGTTCTGTGCTGTTGGGTACGAGTCGGATTGTGGTTTGTCGTCTGAGAAGATCTTGATCAAGGGGGGAACCGTGGTGAACGCTCATCGCAAGGAGGTGGCGGATGTGTACATCGAGGATGGTATCGTTGTGTCTGTGAGGCCTAACATCAAGGTGAGTTGGTGTAGGTACTAATTCTTTTGATAGTTGTTTTTGGGGTTGTCTCTTATTCGTTTGGTTCGGTATAGAGGCGGTCAGTAAGATTTAGACCATGTGACTTTGCCGCTTTAGTTGAGTTGTCGATGCAAAAGAGCTCGTAATTGAGTCATCTTCGTCTTCTTTTCAAGTAAAAGAGGGTTTTTTTTTTTTTATGATTCTGATTTTGTTATCTTGGACTTCTAGAATCTGGAACTGCACCAATTCCTTATTTTAGCTGTGCAAGCCAATTTAATCAAACTTTATATACCAACTTAATCCACCATCCACTTCTGATGTGATACTAGTTGGGGCAATACAATGTTTCCCTACCCATGTGTTTAGTATTTTTATCAAGGCCTAATTCATAGTACCCAAAATTCACATTTACAATTCCAATTTGGGTCTAAGAGGTAAATTCTGATCTTGTTCTAACCAGGGGAAATCAGCATCTTGTTGAGCACAAAGTAATCCATATTTAATGTGTCAGTCACTTAGATTTAATCATGAATGTTCTACTCTTGATTCTCACACCAACTCAGTTAGTCTACTATCCCAGTAACTGTGTATAATGAACCTCAAATCATGTGATCCAAATTCATAAAATCCCATGTTGCTTGTGGTATCTCCGTCAAACTTAAAAACCAGATTAACCCATCCACTTCCATTGTGAGGCTTAGCAGGGCATCACAAAATTTGAACTCAAGTATCTTGAGGATGCTGGATCCTTTATAAGCCAATTCTTCTTTTGGTCAAATGTGTGAGGAGATTATGCTTTTGGCATGTTTATATAGGCAGGGGGCGTTATTTATTCTTGATTACATATGCTTCTTCACTAAATACCATAACTTTGTAATTTACAGGTTGGTGATCATGTGAAAATAATTGATGCAACTGGAAAGTATGTCATGCCAGGTGACAGATTATTTTTGTTATGACCATCATAGTAGCTCTCAATATTTTTACTTACACTTGTTATCCAATATCTCCTGAAACATTTGGAGGATTATAAAAAACATAAGTGCCACTATAACAGGTGGAATCGACCCTCACACTCACCTAGAGATGGAGTTTATGGGAACTGTGACGATAGATGACTTTTTCACTGGTCAAGCTGCTGCTTTGGCTGGAGGAACCACCATGCATATTGACTTTGTTATACCAGTTAATGGGAACTTGAGTGCAGGTTTTGAGTCATATATGAACAAAGCAAAAAAAGCAGTAATGGATTATGGCTTTCATATGGCCATAACAAAGTGGGATGAGGGAGTTTCAAAGGACATGGAGTTGATGGTTAATGAGCATGGTTAGTGAAACCTACTATTGGTGATAAATTACTCTTCAGATTGATTGTTTATCTAGAAGTAGATTTTGCTGGCTTTTTTTGGCCTTCCAGAAAGGATATTCCTGATATGTTTTTGCATAAACATTAGGGATCAACTCTTTCAAGTTCTTTATGGCATACAAAGGATCATTGATGATAAGGGATGAGCTCCTACTGCAAGGCTTGCAGAAGTGCAAATCCCTTGGTGCAATCGCGATGGTTCATGCAGAGAATGGAGATGCTGTTGCTGAAGGACAAAAAAGAATGATAGATCTTGGGATAACAGGCCCAGAGGGGCATGCTCTTTCAAGGCCTCCAGTGGTAATTCTAAGCCATATATATTCAGCAACTTATTGTCAGTTCTACCCTTTCTTAATTTATATTTTTTAAATAATTTTTCAGGTTATTTGTTTATTTATTTTTAATGTTTACTCCCTAGCTTTTTGCATTCATTAACAGAAAATTAATGTTACTTAAGCGTTGTCATCAGTAAATTTCTCATTTAACAAACTAGTAACTTCTGCATGGAGATTTACATTGACATATATACAACTCACAAAAAGTATCATTTTATCAATCAGCATGATTTTTCTCTTTTGCAACTTCTTCTGGTCATGTACTTGATGCAATTACTGCATTGCTTATTATATCACATGGTGTAGCATGGGAATGAAAACTGTCATGTACCTAATTGGGAAGGAAATAAAAGTCATATGCATTTAGAGAGGAGTATAATATTACTGTGATTGTCATATGTGGTTTTCAAACTCTTAAGTTGAACGAGTCTTGCTTGTGAATACATAAATATGTCTGACTTGATCAATGGGATTAAATGATAATGCAGGCAACAGGTACGCTTGATCCAGTACTGTACAGCTGTTTTGAAAATACTCTATAGATTTATGCTTATCTTTTCAAGCCCTACAATGCTATTTGCTACTTTGCAGAATAAGTATTGTTTTCTTTCCTTTTCTTATGTTTTTCTTTTAGATGAAAATTCTGGACCTAGCATTTTCTAGAAATGATCTTGGAATTCCTATCTCAAACACAATGGGATAACCTCTCACACTGTAGAATATGGAAATACTTTACTGGAAGAGGATGCTAAAGCTAAATCATAGCAGTGATGCATCCCTAGTACAATGAGCTGAACTCATTTGTCATATGTCACTATGTTTCTTCTTTTCCAACTTGGTAATTAGATTCCCATCTATCTTTTTCTTATGTGCTTGCAAATTTTAAACAGTTGGAGGGAGAAGCTACTGCAAGAGCTATCCGCTTGGCCAATTTTGTCAATACTCCCTTATATGTGGTTCATGTTATGAGCATTGATGCCATGGAGGAGATTGCCAAGGCCAGAAAAGCAGGTAACAGATTATGCCGTTTCCTTTAATTTTATTCTTATTGCCTTCAAGATATATTCCAGGATGACTATTTATGTTCTGCACCTAAGATGAAAGGTCAATATGGAGCTGGTTGATATGGGAATTCTTATTTCAAAGTAGCTTACCTAGTAGAAATTTATTCTCTAGCATTCATCTTATGAATGCAGGGCAAAGGGTCATTGGTGAACCTGTAGCTTCTGGATTAATCCTTGATGATTCTTGGCTTTGGCATCCTGACTACACTACTGCTGCAAAGTAAGACCAAGTACATTTTCCATTCCATTCATTGTTTTTAAAATTTTCATATTTGCTGTGTCTGATAATTACTTTTATTTTCTTCTAGATATGTAATGAGCCCTCCAATAAGGACATCAGGACATGATAAGGCTCTTCAAGCTGCCCTTTCAACTGGTGTCTTGCAAGTAATGAATCTTCTCTACTGTTATAATGGTGAACCTTCTTTTTTCATTACATACAAAGAGAGTGATATTTCAAAGAGAATATGGGATTGATTAGACAGAAAGTAGAAAACTATAATTGGGCCAGAGAAATACAGATTTATGGGTGCATGCACATAAGGTTACCAATTCCATATGAAGGGCATATACTCTCGCTTTTGTACCATATTATTGATTTGCACCATGCTTCTCACCTCGTCTGTCAAGAAAAATTAGAGAAAAGAAATAAGAATGACATGAAACAGTTCTGTTGGTGCAGTTTTACATTTAGAAACTGTTTTGTTCTATTCTTTATGGCAGTATTATATTCTAACACTTGCTTACACTTGTTATTTTTTTTCTATTATGTTTCTCTATCTGTCAATCGCTTTGTGATTTTGGTTTTGATTTTATTCTAGCAAGCATACATGGATATATTTCGTACATGATCAATTTATTGGTAATAAAGCTGGGATTTACCAAAAAAGAACATATCTAGTAATTTTTTCACTGCAATGCAGCTTGTTGGGACTGATCATTGCGCTTTTAACTCTACTCAAAAAGCTCTTGGTTCTGAAGACTTCAGAAAAATCCCAAATGGTGTCAATGGTATGTTCTTGTGTTGGTAGCAGTTGCCTTGATGCAGCATTAAATGTTCATTACGAGATGGACATTGTCATTCTTATCAGATGTACATTGTCACCATTAATTCCAGGTATAGAGGAAAGAATGCATCTAATATGGGATAAGATGGTGGTAAGCTGCAACACTGAGATGACTAATATCTACTTACATGGAATATTCCCCAAACTTTCATATGATATTTGCAAAAACTTGGCATTGTTACAGGAGTCTGGACAAATGACGGTTACTGATTATGTTCGAGTGACGAGCACCGAGTGGTATGTTATCAAAATGGTGATGTGCATAATGAAGTTGATAATAACAAAGCGTTACATGTTTATACGTATTATTTAAATTTCTGCATATATTTGACAAAATTAATTTTCGATAAGAACCTTTGTTATCTAAATAAAACAATCGTTTGGTTGTATGTGTATAGATCATCAGGTGATGTTTTACAAATTTAGCTTCATACTTTGTGCAGTGCCAAAGTATTCAACATTTACCCACGTAAAGGAGCTATACTGGAAGGATCTGATGCTGATATAATCATATTAAACCCCAACGCAAGCTTTAAGATAGCCGCTGCTTCTCACCACTCAAGATCCGATACAAATGTGTATGAAGGGACGAAAGGAAAGGTAATCATTGTTGATCGTTGATCACTATACGTTAGTCAAACTGGGCGAGCATGATACTAAATGCAAAACTGTCAAGGACTTGTACCTCTTTTCCTAATATTGATAGGATCCAAATGGAGTTTCACATTTCATGTATTTTCTTAGTCCTGGAATCTTTACAACAGAGTCCCAATGTGTTGCTGACTTGCTGTTAAATCACTGCTGCAGGGAAAAGTTGAAGTCACTATTTCACAGGGAAGGGTGGTTTATGAAGATGGTAAACTGAAGGTTACCCCTGGCTCTGGCAGGTACATAAGAATGCCACCTTTTGGCTATCTTTTCGACGGCATAGAGAAGGCAGATGCTGCATATTTTGCTTCTCTTAACGCTCCAATCCAACGCACAAAATCTGCAGCTTGAGGTTAAATGGTAATGTACTTTAGAATTAGCTTGTAAAAAACAAAATAAGTGATAGAAACGATGAACAAAAATACAACTTCAGAAAAAGATAGATTCTGAATTGAATAGTTGCGACAAATTCACTTCTACAATAACAGAAAAAGTTCGTCATCAGTTGTGATTTTTGTAAGTTAAGAAATTTGATTTGCATGTAGGTGCACATTGTTCTTCTCCTCAAATAGTTTGCAGCACTGAAGGAACAGTTTTACTACAACATAATCTTGCTTTAATTATAACAAACTTATCCACAGAACCTTTAGTCGAGTATAAACAATCTGAACTATGCATCTAGTGGTAATCTTCTTAGGTCATTGTGATGCTTCATTTTGTTATTTTGTTTGTTATTTATTTTTTATATATACTTGTCATGGTTGCAATGTCTGAATTTAAATGACAACGGAAAGTTCGGAATATCTGATAGATGTTTCTGACTCGTTTGCATATTCATAGCTGATCAGAAGAAAATGATCTAATGTTACTATTTTTTATCTGTTGTGGAGGGTGTGCAAAATTCTCTTTATGTTTCTGCCTGTAGAGATGGTACAGAAGTGGACTTTTAGTTGATAATTCACCACAATCTCGAAAGAGATGATGCAAAGCTTACATGTTTAGATACACCACAATCACATAAGAGGTGATGCAAAGCTTTACATGTTTAGATACACCTGTATAGATGATGCAGAAATGGACTTTTAGCTGATAATTCACCACAATACTCTCATTATTTTTTATTCATTTCTTGGATATCCTTAAGCCTTCCATTGTGTTAGAATTGCTGTCCTCCCGAAGGAGAGTCTCCTAAAAATTTATGCAATATTGTTTACAAATTTCTCTTCAAATTTCTTACTACTCATATAAAGCTCTTCTTATGCAATTTAATAAATAAAAAATAATCTTTTTTTTTTATCTCAAGTAAATACATCACCATTACCCAGGAGTTGACCCATGACACTGTGTGGGAAGAATCCAACATGAGATGGATTGGCAATGAACTTGATGCATTGCTAAAACCAAAATAATGAGAAGCATGAATTGAGCCCCTTGCTAAAATCCAGGATATCATTGAGCCCTCCATTTCTCATTGCAGAAATAACATTGTATGATCTAATCTTCTCATTATTTAGGTTTTAGCAGTGGACCAAGTTCGTGCTTGTCCAAATCATGATGGATTGGCAATTGACCAGCCATGGGCTAAACAACTGCAGCTCCCCGTGACCACCGCCTCTTTTGTTTGTATCAAGTTAACATCATATGCCTACGGTACGTAATCAATTTCTTTTCCTTTCCTTTCCTTGTCTGTGACGACGGTAAAACCGAGGGTACCAGTATTATGGGTGGACCATGGCGGATCCGATGCATGCTATGCCCTCATTTGTTTTATGCATACGTATATTATCCATGTCCAAAGACATAACAATCTGATCCAGTAGTTGGGAGAGAGAGAGAGAGAGAGAGAATGGATGCTAAGAGAGTGATGGTGTTTCAGGTAGCAGCGACCTTGTTGTTAGCATCAGCTGTTGCAGCAGCAGCAGCAATATCGAAGCCAGGATGCCCGAGCAAGTGCGGCGAAGTCGACATCCCCTACCCGTTCGGCATCGGGAGGGGCTGCTCCATGGAAGGCTTCGACATCACTTGCAATGACACCACCGATCCTCCAAAACCTTTCATAGCTGTAGGAAACATCGAAATCCTCAACGTCTCCTTGGTTGATCACGAGTTAAGCGTGCACATCTACATGGTTGGTCAGTGCTACGAGCAATCTGGTAATTACTCAACGACAAGCCTGGCCCTGCCATTCTTGTTCTCAGCCGCCAGCAACAAGTTCACCGTCGTCGGTTGCTCCACTCTCGCCTACGTCGTAGGCCAAAACGTGAAAGGCAACACTTACGCGAGCGGCTGCGTGTCCTACTGCGACGACGCCGGTGGCGTTTCGGAGGGGCCGGGTTGCGATGGCATGGGTTGCTGCCAAACTTCCATACCCAAGTCGCTCAGCAATTTTACCGCCTACTTCAGTGATTCCTTAAACAACAGTGAGGTGGCGAGCTTCAGTCCCTGTAGCTATGCCTTCGTAGCCGATCAAGATTGGTTCCGCTTCAATAAATCCACCCTCTTCCCTGATTTCGGCGACGAGACCAATTACCAGGTTCCTGTGCTGCTGGACTGGGCGATGCGCAACCACTCGTCGTGCCGGGATGCTGAAGCTGACTACCCTAACTACGCCTGCCGCAGCGCTCACAGCGACTGCTTCAATTCCACCAATGGCCCCGGGTACTTATGCAAGTGTTCCCAAGGATACACAGGCAATCCCTATCTCGAGGGTGGATGCCAAGGTACTCCCCGCCCATCTCTTCCCACATGCTCGATTACACCTTCCTTCCATTTCTGATGGTCGAATCAACGCTCGACAGATATCGACGAGTGCGAACTTTCTCAGCTGTATCCATGCTTCGGAGTTTGCAGCAATATACAGGGAGGCTACCTCTGCACATGCCCTCCTGGCACGCATGGTAATGCCACCAAAGACACTTGTATCGGCAACTCATCCAAATTTCCATTGCCGGCGCGGCTGGTTATAGGTAAACTAAACCTTCGGTCTTTCTTACTTTATTGTCCTTCTACGACTTCTCCTAATCTCCAGCTGCCATGACAACACTCTTTTCGGCGGACATATGTTGCAATGTCTCTTCGAGTTGCCTGCACGCCGGCTGATGCACTATTATACGTTGAAACTATAGAAGAATGGATGAAAACTATGTGTCGCTTTTCGTTATTTGAGCTAATTCTCGCGACGCGCATGCTTTGTGCAGGTTTCAGCGTGATCATTGTGGTATTAGTTGCCCTGGTTTCTAGTGCAATCATATGTACCCAAAAGTTGAAACTCAAACGAGAAAGAGACACTTTCTTCAAGAAAAATGGGGGATTCAAGTTGTACGAAGAAATCCTATCCAAAAAGGTGGACACCGTTCAAGTATTCACCGAGGAGGAGCTACAACGAGCCACAGACAACTTCGACGACAAAGGAGTCATCGGCTGCGGCGGGTACGGCATGGTGTACCGGGGAATCTTGGACAACCAACGAACGGTGGCGATAAAGAAGTCGAAGAAGGTCGACGAGCGACAGAAGGACGAGTTCGTCAACGAGATCATCGTTCTTTCTCAGATCAACCACCGGCATATAGTAAGGCTACTGGGCTGTTGCTTGGAGCTGGATGTTCCCATGCTGGTCTACGAGTACATCTCCAACGGCAGCCTGTTCGACGTGCTCCACCCTGAGCACTACGCCTCGCCCCTCCCCTTGCAAGCTCGCCTAACGATCGCTGAGCAGGCCGCGGAAGCGCTCGCCTACTTGCACTCGGCGACCAACCGGTCCATCATTCACGGGGACGTCAAGTCCCACAACATACTGCTGGACGACGACCTCTCCGCCAAAGTGTCCGACTTCGGAGCGTCTCAGCTCGTCCCCATGGACGAAGACGAGTTCATCTTGTTCGTGCAGGGAACGTTAGGTTACTTGGACCCCGAGTGCATGCAGACCCGCCGGCTGACGGATAGAAGCGACGTGTACAGCTTCGGGGTCGTCCTCCTGGAGCTGATCACAGGCAAGAAGGCGATCTACGCCGACGATGCTTGGGAAAAGAGGAGCCTGGCGACAAGTTTCCTCGTGATGATGAAGGAGCAGAGGCTGAGAGACATACTGGATAACAAAATGATCGGGGAAGGGGGAGAGCGGTTGCTGGGGGAGGTTGCGGCCATTGCCAAGGAGTGCCTGAGCGTGAAGGGAGAAGAGCGGCCCTCCATGAAGGAAGTAGCAGAGCGACTGCATTCTTTGAGAAGGTTAAGGCTGCAACCGAGGGAGGAATATGATCAGCGAGCGATCGAAATGGTAAAAGCTGAAGAGACAAGAAGATGCACGGAGACGGATACCAGCGGTTATCATATCCTGGATAGCAGCACGCTGCTGAACAACGTCGACGCCGGGAGATGACGAAGTTGCTTCCTCCATCTCCTCCTCCGAGCCATAGATATAGTTCCATTACAAGACGTCGTGTGGTACCAATAGATCTTTACAGAGTGAACTCGATGATTTTTATGTGATAATTATAATCCTTGGCAATTATTTTTATTTTTTATTTTTTATAGTACTCTTTGACAATGGACAATGGGGAAAAAATGATTTTATGTTATTAGGTAGTACAAGGCATCAACGCTTATGGCAGATAAAAGATTCAGTGATCTCGTCAACTCTACTCTAAATGAGACAATTCAGCTACCTAAAGGGCTCCCTATGACTAAGGGGGGAGAAGCCTAATCTATTATTGGATACGCTTCCTCCATTCATCGACACTAGGTTGGCGACGGTGGCGGTGGCAAAGATCATAATCGACGTTTATGTGTTAGGGCGATCCTCTCTCTCTCTCTCTCTCTCTCTCTCTCTTACTCTCTGTCACTCTCTCACATACGTCGCTGCATGCCCAATCTAAGGGTCGAAGGAAGCTTGGATCTCATTGACCAAGCAGCTCTACTCCCACCTAATGTCCTCTTGGTGCACCCTTGCTGAAGGGTGGGACACCATCATCATTGTCTTCATCCTACACCTCATGTTGACTTGGATAATGTTGTAGAGATTTGTGTCTTCAAACAAACAAAATTAGTGATAGAAATAATAGAAGATAAGAATAATTGAAGAAGCTTTATTGTAGAAATGAAATAGCTTTAGCTTGAATATATTAACATGTTCCTCTCCTATTTATACAGAGGAAGGATTTCCCTTAACAAAATAAACAGAATAGAGAGATTTCCTCATATAATTGGGGAAATATTATCTTCTATCAAGTTGGGGAAATCTTATCTTCTATCAATTAGCTACAAGATTGGCAAAATCTTAAACTAAGAATGGGGCATCAACATCTTATCTCATGGTATAAGATAGCTACTATTCACTCATCTGATGGATGATGATGGACTTGGATAGGGCAAGAGCAATTCAGTGGATCTACTCTTTCTCTGGCTCATGGAACTGTGGGGTGACATTGGAAAACTTTTGAGTGGACCAATTCAAGTTGATTGGCCATTTGTTCCTTAAAAAATAAAAAAAATCTCTTTTTCTAACTTTGAAATCAGAGGGAGGAAAGAGAAAATATATCGAACCCTTGAAGCACACGATATAGCATACAAATAGTAGAGTCAATGTTAGGGTAATACAAAGCCTTCTACACTCACAAACAAATACGGTAAGATAGCGCTAGGAGTTTGGTGCCATCTAAGTGGACAAGCATTTTTAGTACTAAAAAAACTTGACCAAAAAAAAAGTGCAAAAACAATGTCTTGCCCTCTGTAGATCAACGCTAGTGTAGTAGTGATGTGATTCATAGGATCAATCACCAAGCCAAGCAACAATCAAATTAAACTTAATCAGAATATGATAGATATCCCAAATGTAATTTAGGTTAAAGGCCAACATTATAATATCAAATGCAAGAACGTGAGCCTCAATGTCGGTTAATTATTACCATAATGCAATTTTGATTGCCAATCACAATGTCAATTATCTGTTCAAATCCCCAACCGAAACAACATTCATCAATTGTCGAGCATAGAAAATAAGCTTAGAAAAGACACCACCGTTCTTGTAATACAAGCGATGAAGGAAGCATACGAGGACGTGAAGATTTCGATCACGCTTAGACTTACAACCTCGTCATCTCCCCGTATTCATGTGCAGGGCATGATACGCGCTGCTACCCGTTTCCGTCTCTCTTGTTGTCTCTTCAACTTGTACCATTTCGATCTCTCCCCGATCATATTCCTCCCTCGGTAGCAGCCTTAACCTTCTTAAAGAATGCAGTCCCTCTACTACTTCCTTCATGGAGGGTCGCTCTTCTCCCTTCACGCTCAGGCACTCCTTGGCAATGGCCGCAACCTCCCCCAGCAACTGCTCTCCCCCTTCCTCCACCATTTTGTCATCCAGTATGTCCTTCAGCCTCTGCTCCTTCACCTTCGCAAGGAAACTTGTCGCCAGGCTCCTCTTTTCCCCGGCAGCGTCGGTGTAGATCGCCTTCTTGCCTGTGATCAGCTCCAGGAGGACGACCCCGAAGCTGTACACGTCGCTTCTATCCGTCAGTCGGTGGGTCTGCATGCACTCGGGGTCCAAGTAACCTAACGTTCCCTGCACGAACATGATGAACTCGTCTTCGTCCACCGGGACGAGATGGGACGCTCCGAAGTCGGACACTTTAGCCGAGAGGTCGGTGCCCAGCAGTATGTTGTGGGACTTGACGTCTCCGTGAGTGATGGAACGGCTGGTGCCCGAGTGCAAGTAGGCGAGCGCTTCTGCGGTCTGCTCAGCGATCGTTAGGCGAGCTTGCAAGGAGAGGCGCGAGGCGGAGCGGTCATGGTGGAGCACATCGAACAGGCTGCCGTTGGAGATGTACTCGTAGACCAGCATGGGGACGTCCAGCTCCAAGCAGCAGCCCAGTAACCTTACTATATGCCGGTGGTTGACCTGAGAAAGAACGATGATCTCGTTGATGAACTCGTCCTTCTGCCGCTCGTCGACCTTCTTGGACTTCTTTATCGCCACTATTCGATGGTCGTCCAAGATTCCCCGGTACACCAAGCCGTACCCGCCGCAGCCGATGATTCTTTTGTCGTCGAAGTTGTCCGTGGCTCGTTGTAGCTCCTCCTCGGTGAAGACTTGAATGGTGTCCACCCTTTTCGATAGGATTTCTTCGTATAACTTGAAGCCCCCATTTTTCCTGAAGAACATCTCTCTTTCTCTTTTGTGTTTCGACTTTTGGATCGCTATGGTTACACAAGAAATGAGAGCACCTAATGCTACAATGATGGCGCTGCAACCTGCACGCACAGTCATGTGAGTGGCTAGGATTAGCATGAGAGCAACTGCTACAAAGAGGGCGCTGAAACCTGCACGCACAGTCATGTGAGTTGCATGGATTAGCTTAAAGGCCGAGAAGTGGATGAGACACATATCTCATCCATTCTTTTATAGTAAAAGCGCATCCAAAACAGATCGTATAAGTGAGACATGTGAGTTGCAATGGATGACATCCAAATCGAGGCAGCACTCGCACAACAGGAGAAGTCGTACAAGTACAATTCTACCATGTTGGTGGAATTCTAAACATGTGCACCTTTCTCATGTTCGAACTCTTCAAAAGACAGCTTCTTGTAAGGAAGACCGTCTTCTGTTCAGGAGTGTATTCATCATAGCTCCTCTTTGTTGCAATGAACCTATCAATAATCGTTCTCTCTCATGATCTAAGAAGACTTATTGTAGGCGGCCAAAAATTGATGTGCCTAATATTTGGGATGCATGCGAAAGCCAAACAAAAGAAGAGTAGAATCTCGAGTTCGATCGTCGAAAAGTACTGACAAGCAAGAGAGACGGGTAAGACGTGAAGGCGTGGAGATCGGGTTTACCTACAACCAGCCGTGCTGGTGCTGGAAATTTGGATGGGATCTCGGTGCAATTGTATTCGGAGGCATTGCCGAGCGTGCCGGGAGGGCATGTGCAATTGTAGCCTCCCGGTGTATTGGTACAAACTCCGTAGCATGGATACAGCTGAGGAAGTTGGCACTCGTCGATGTCTGTGAGCATTCCACCATCAGAAGAATGAAGGTGTGATCGAGCACAATGGGAAGAGGAGGGGCGTAATACGTACCTTGGCATCCATCCACGAGATAGGGATTGCCTGTAAACCCATCGGAACACATGCAACGGTATCCATCGCCATTGGTGGAGTTGAGGCATGTGGTGTTCCCACCGCGGCAGGCGTAGGTTTCCGGCTGAGCTTGGGCATCCGGGCACGACGACGGGCTGCGTATCGCCCAGTCCATCACGGCGGGAGACTGGTCATTGTTGTTCTTGCCGAAATCTTCGGAGAGTTTGGACTTATCGAACTGGAACCAATCTTGATCGGCCAAGAAGGCATAGCTGCAGGGACTGAAGCTTCGTACATTGGTTTTGTCGAAGTTAAAGTCGAAGTAGGTATTAAAAACATTGAACTCCGTGGGGATGGAAGTTTGGCAGCAACCCAAGCCATCGCAATTCGGTCCCTCCGAAACACTGCTTTCTTCGTGGCAGATGGATATGCATCCGCTAGCATAAGAGTGAGTATCGTCGTTCTGACCTCCGATGTAGGCGAGAGTGGCGCACCCGACGACGGTGAACTTGTTGCGGGTGGCGGAGAACAAATATGGAAGATCCACGGATGTATTTGCGTGAAACGCACGGTCGTAACACCACTTAGCCATGTAGATACGCACGGTTAACTCATGATCAACCAAGGAGATGCGGACGATTTCGATGTTTCCTGTACTTATGAAAGCTCTTGGATGATCGGCGGTGCCACCGCAAGTGATGTCGTAGCCTTGCATGGAGCAGTTGGTTCCGATGCCGAACGGGTAGGGGACGTCGACGTCGCCGCACTTGTCCGGGCATCCTGGCTTCGACATTGTTGCTGTGCCATTCAAAGCTGCTGCTGCAACTGCCGATGCCAGCAACAACGTCGCCGCTATCTGAAACAGCGGCACTCTCTTAGCAACCATCGTCAACCTCTCTCTCTCTCTCTCTCTCTCGCTGCCGTCCAAACTATTGGATCAGATTGTTATCATCATGTCTTTGGACATTATATGTATGTATATATACCCACTTTGGGTTTTACCATCGAGACAGACAAGGAAAGGAAAATAAATTAATTAGCTACCAAAAAGACTGTATATAAATATTAATATATACAGTGTGCATTTAGAATCTTATCATTGTATAAAATTAAATATCATTTTTTTGGATTAGTGCAATACTAAATATAAAGTAATTATTTAAAGTAAATTCTTATTTGGTATTAGTAAAATTTACTAACTATGTGTGCAATTATCAATACTATTATCATTTAAGGCTGATGCCTTAATATAATTTTATAACTTATTAATCCAAGCTATTTTAATAAATTTAAGATAAATATAAATATATAAATTATATTTTAAATATCCTTAAAAAAAAATTTATTATTATTTAAATCTCAGAGGTTTATCAATCTAGACCACTTTGACAGCTACATAAGATTTAAGCATATAAATTATAAATAATATTCATTAAATTTTTCTTCAATGCTTTCATATGTAAAATTATTAAATAAAAATATTAATGATTTTCTTAGAAAATATTCTTATTTTAGTATTATCCAAACAGTTATCCTCATATTAGTTTGTTCCAAACCATATCTCCTAATTTCAATTCTACCCAAATTGCCCCTCCATCACATTCTCTTCCCTCACACATTCCCTGCAGCTCACCCTCTCCTCCTCTCTTCTTCGTTGTTGTGTACCCTCTCCGCCTCATCTCCTCTTCTTGCTCTCGCCTGTCCTTCATCCTCCTCCTTTCATGTTTATTCTTCTTTCCTTTTTTTTCTCCTTCCCTTTCCTTATATCCTCCCTCCTTTCATCGTTGACGATGGGCAGTAGATAGCAAGCGACAACGGGCAATGATACAATAAAGAATGAATGTTAAAATTTTAAGGGTCACACATGTATTTAATTATATTAAGTCATTATTTTGATTAGTCAAAATTAAAATAATTTAATTAAAATAAAATTATTTGGCTAAGTGACATAATTATTATAAAAATTAATTGTGTGGATATCATCAGTTACATTTCTAACTTGACGATGAGATAAGTTAGGAATATGAAACATTTGACTTGATGACGAGACAAGTTAGAAATATGAAATATCTTAGGGCATTTCTATAAATAGGATTATGGTCCCCAATTATAGTATCAATTTTTAGATTTTTCTTCACCCGTAAAAGAGAAACAAAAGGGTTCTTAGAGATACTCTACAATTGGAAGGCTAATTCACCAATTAAACTAAAATACTCCGATGGATTTATCAGGTACGTTTCCGTGTTAATATATTTAATTTTATGTATATTATTGTGGATTTAATAAATTTTTATAGAAATATTCTAAAATTCGATTTTGGTTATATAAAACATGTTTGATCCATATTTGATCTGTTAAACAAACCACCACCTACTATTAGAGCCATCCTATAATGATTATTGAACATCTAGCCTTATTTTTCATGTATTTTTATGGTGTTTTTATCAGTATTTTGGTGTGATTCGGTTATATCATCATCGGAGAATATGATAGTTTTATGTAATCATATTACAGCATGCTTCGTAATTTGAGATGCATTCCTATTATTGTTTATTTTCACGTTGTAATGCGTAAACCTCTTTGCTGCTCAAATTCAATTAGTGATTATATAGTTATTTAATATTAGATTGAGTAATTTGATGCATGAAGTTATCAAAGTGGCGTATCATATGTGATATTTTTCATGAAAATATTAAATATAATATGTATTTACATCCATACAGAAATTACCTAACTCAAAAGAAGGTTAATGACTAGTAGGATTCTATACACATTTGTAATGGTAAACATATGACAATTATAAAATTGTACATTCGAATAATAAATAAATCCAAATTTGGATTTATCATTTGACATGTCTTATTAGTGTTTGATCCTTACAATAAGAGTACCACTATTAATTAATATTAAAGTTTAAAGATAATATATTAATGTTGCATTTGGTATCTTAAGATATATCATTATTTAAATTTACTTAAGTTTATGGTAATATATATGAGCATAATTTGTAGTTGTCTATTATTCCCTTGTTTAGGTTATTTTGTAACAATATTTGCTAACCTCAATTAGTACCGGTTCTAAACAGAACCAACTTTAAGAATCGGAAGGAAAACATTTTGATCATTTTGGGCTATATGGATCTGGACCTGACACTAAGGGAATACCAACCTGCTTTTCTTATAGAAAATAGTACTCATAATAAAAGGAGACTATATGAGAAGTGGGACAGGTCTAATCGTATGAGTCTCATGATCATTAAGCATGACATTCCAAAAGCCTTTAGGGGTGCGATATCCAAAAGGATTACTACGGCCAAAGATTTCCTTACCGAAATAGAAAAATATTTTCTTAAAAATAATAACGCGAAAATAAACACTTTGCTTCAAAGCTTGATTTTCATGAGGTACAACAGCAAAGGAAATATAGAGGAGTATATCATAGAGATGTCTAATCTTGCTTCAAAGCTTAAAGCATTAAAACTTGACTTATCAAATGATTTACTTGTCCATTTAGTTCTAATATCTCTCCTCGCACAATTCAGTAGATCATTTATAACTGTCAAAAGGACAAATGATCTCTAAATGAGCTCATTTGAAGAAGAAAGGCTAAAGCAAGAAAGGATTGAAAGTGCCAACTTGGCCAGCACCTCTAAGGATAAGGGCAAGAAAAGAAAATACAAATCTGAAAAGAATAAGACTGATAAGAGTTCAGTGTAGATGAAATAAAATAAGGATGATACTTGTTTCTTCTATAAGAAATATGGGCATTTGAAGAAGAACTATGTCAAATATCATGCTTAGCGTGCTAAAAAATATATGTTTCTTAATTTGGTTTATTCTTAAGTCAATTTAATTTTAGTACCTAAAAACACTTGGTGGTTAGACTCCGGTACAACTATTAATATTAATATTTCAATGCAAAGTTGCTTGAGCTACCGAAGGCCCAATGATGTTAAGAGATGCATTTATGCGGGGGACGAAAAATTGGTAGATGTGTAAGCTATATGCACATTTAGATTGTTATCATATACTAGATACTATTTGGATTTGAAAGACAATTTTATTGTACCATCATTTAAACGAAATTTAATTTATATTTCTTATTTGGACAAATCTGGTTTTTCTTGTTCATTTGAAAACAATCGGTTTACTTTGTCTTTAAATTCAAATGTGATTGGAATTAGTTCACTTATGGATTATGACAATCTATATTTGCTTGATAGTATAGTATCCTATCATGAATCCCTGAATGTGGAATTGCGAGATACTAAACGTAAAATTAAAAATTCGAGTATTATGGCACAAACGTTTGGGTCACATCTCTAGGAATAGAGTTAAAAGACTTATATTAGAAGGGATTCTTGATCCCATTAACTTATCAGGTTTAGATGTTTGTATTGAATGTATTAAAGATAAACAAGCTAAACATAAGAGATTAGGTGTATATAGAGCTACGAACGTCTTAGAATTGATACATACGGATATCTGTGGGTCATTTCCTATACCTTCATGGAATGGTAAACAATATTTTATATCATTCGTAGATGATTACTCTAGATATGAATACCTATATCTAATACATGAAAATTTTCAATCTTTGGATGTGTTCAAATCATTCAAAGTTGAAGTTGAAAATCTAATGTGATCAAGCCCGAGCCAGTGGGCTCAATCACTTACATTATGATCTATGTGTGCTTCGACGTAATTTCATGCCTTGTGATCGTCCATCTCTTCCTCGTTGGTTCCTTCAGCATCTCGGTGCATCTCTAAGCATCGCGATCGTCCGTCTCAACCTTATGGGTCCATTATCACCTCCACGATTCCACTGCGTCTCCTCGTGTAATTACAATATAATCACAAGCATGTAAGCCCAACAATAAATGAGAAAAAGTATATGCTCGCAGGCCCTAATAGTAATAATCATAATACACACATACATTGCATCATACGGTCCATGATCATCTATCCACATCACACATCATATATATATATATATATATATATATATATAATTATATATGACTACTAGATAATAATAATAATTAAGTAATTAATTAATACTTTTAGTTAATCATTTTGTAGCCCTTTTGGGGTACCCTACCCTAAGGTGCCCCATGCGGCTAGGAAACCTTGGCCGTAGGATAGTTTTGGGTGGCCATGGATCCTTGGCCCCCAA